ACGCTCCACGTCAGATTACAAGGTTATGTGTTGACATCACCAACAGTTGACACCCTCAGCTCCGTTCACGCGCTTGCATTGGTGCAGTGCAGCATGATCCACCCCCCAGGAGCAATGTCTGTGGATGCCCTTTTCATTCTGATTCGGTTAATCAGTTAGTGAGTCAGTCGATTGGATTCTTTCATGTTTCTTTAGGTTGATTGATTGGGTTGCTTCTAAATTGTTTCTTTGGATTGGTTTTTAAATTTGATTCTTTGGATTTTTTTTGACTGAATCAAATCCATTCATTGAATTGGTTGGTTTGATTGGTTTGATTGGATTGATTGATTGATTGATTGATTGATTGACTAATCGATTGATTGCTTTGATAGATGGATTTGATGCATTGGAATGAGTTGGGTCGATGGGTGAATAGATGGGTAGGCCTGTGGGTGGATGGATGGGTGGGTGGGTGGGTGGGTGGATGGATGGATGGATGGATGGATGGATGGATAGGTGGGGGAGTGGGTGGGTGGGTAGGTGAATGGACGTGTGGGTGGGTGAATGCGTGGGTAAGCGCGCGGATGGGTGGGTGGATGGGTGGATGGGTGGATGGATCCCTGAACGAGGTGAACCGGCGGATGGGTGAGCGTGGGTAGACAGGTACATGTGTATCTGGGTGGGTGGATGGGTAGATGGATTGATAGGTAGTTGGGTGGGTGGGTGGGTGGGTGGATGGATGGAGGGATTCGTGCTTAGATAGATAGATATCTGAATGGATGGCGGGATGTTATGTATGGATGGGCAGGCAGGTGGGGGCCAGGCCAGCGTCATGTGGATATAATTTGACGACATAAAGCAAACAAACGTACGACAAAAGTAAACACGTTTAACAAACGTATGAATCTTTACAGTCCATGATCTTCTTTTCGCAGCAAGACTGGGCTAGTGTAATAATGTTCCAGCTTTGGGCAGATCATCTGGATAGGACATTATTTTGCTTCGGATTGGAAAGCAACATCCTCGTCCAGCTGCCCCAATCATTGTTGTAGGCATCAATAATGGGGCATCATGCATGAAACTGCATGAAAACATGATGACACGTTGAGTAGACCACCATGTCCAGCAGGGCCATTGTTTTTCTGTCCACCAGTACACGGCCCCAGCCTTGCAGAAAAATGAAATTGTCGCCACAAGAAGATTCCGCGCCTCGGGGAAGGCCCGGTAGTGCAACGTGAGGAGAAGCCGCTGGGCCCAACAACAAAGGGCAAATGGACTGTGGTGTTGCTGCTGGCGCAGAAATAGCAGAATGCCCTGCCTCGCTGTCAGGGATCATGATGGAAAAAGGAAAACCTTTCATTGCAGTTACGGGCAGGCCTGGAGGAATCTGATCGCAATCACATCCAGAGCGTAGCTGAAAAAGTGCCGGCGTGAATTTTCTTTTTCTTTTTTCTTTTTTTGTTTTCTCTGAAAAGAACAGGTGCTTGTCCTTTCTGAACACACTCCCTGCCTCCCCGCCTCCAGCCCTTTTCTGGTAAGGGCATAATAGCACCGCCACTTTCCCGAATGTATCTGGCTGCAATAATGGCTCCGGCTGAATGAATCTGATGGCGAACATGTGCCCTTTCATATATTTTTTCGCCCATTGTATTTCAAAAAGAAAGAGAAGCTTATCGTCATTCTGAAATCACTCCCCGTGAGAGGCGGGGAGGAGGTGATTCAGAGTGTCCGACCCTTTCTTCCCAGGGCACACTCAGGGCATACTCACACTAGGGGTCTCGCCACACCACTCCCGACTTGGGAAAATTTTCGGGAGTGCTCCCGGAAGTGAAAACCCGCTCGGGACTGCCTTTCGCAACACTACACTCTCGACCCGGCCGCGCTCAAAGTCTGAAAATGTCATTTGCCACATATGGACATGATCAGTGTGAAGCAGTCTGGCAGAAGTCGTTTGTCCCTTCAGGCTCCACTCCCGAATCTGGGATGAAACTCGGAGGAGTGAAGGAGGTCTCTCGAAAAAAAAGCTTTGCAGGCGGTGAGTTCGGGAGTGCTCTCGGGAGCCACATTCTGACAGCTCCCGAATTCAATCTGACAGGTTGAACTCGGGAGCTGGTGTGGCGATGCTGCACTCCCGAAAATGGCCAAGTCGGGAGTAGTGTGGCGAGGCCCTAGCACTTTTCAAAAGAATCTGACTGCGATTACGGCCAGACCTGGATGCATCTGACCGCAATCACGTCCATAAAAGATATCTGAGTATGCCCTCACTCTAGCTCCTGAATGTATCTGGTTGCAATAACGGCCCGTCTGAATGAATATTCGCTTTTTTTTCCCCTCAAAAAGTAACAAAAGAGTATTTCGTTCTGAAAAAATAAAGAAATAAAAGAATCACTTCCTGTGAGAGGTGGGGAGGAAGTGGTTCAGAGTGTCAGCCCGTTCTTCCCAGCCCACACTCATGCTAGCTCTTTCCCGAATGTATCTGGCTGCAATTAGGGCCATGCGTGGATGAATTTGAAGGCAATAGCGTTCAGGACTTGTGACTACAGTAGGCCGTTGGAGCTTGTCTGGGTGGCTAGTGAGTGAAAACATCGTCCTCCTTTCAGTCCATGTACTGGCAGGAGGTCCAGCACTCAATCCGAGCAAGGCCGCTTTTTTTTCTTTTTTTCTTTTTTAAAGAAATCCAGCGACCACTACTAGAGGGGGTGATAAGAGCAGCCGCCCCTAGTAGCTGTCCCTGGCTGCTCCATCTATTGGTGGGGAGCTGCACCTGCTGGAAACCGGGTCCAGCGTCCCTGTATAACAAGCATCCACAAGAATGTTCGAGAGCAGACCACCAGCATTGATTACCCCAGGATACCCAGGTGGATTGACTGAGCGGTTAGGAAGGTTATGGAGACAGAAGTGCCTCTTCACCCTTTGAGCAGGGCGCCTCGTCTATCCTGGTGTATCTAGCCTCTTCCTTCGCCATGAGTGTATGGGTAGTATCTTCTATAAAAGGAATGAGTAGAGCTTAAGATGCTTTTGCTGCTAGCTGCTGTCCTTTCTCCAGTCACTTCTTGGCCAAGCTCTGATCTTCATATTCTCCCGCCAATGTCCGCTTGGTTCTGGTGTTGAAGCTGTTCCTCCCCGGGAGGCACCGGGGGTGGATGATGGGTCTTGTCCGTAGCAGCAGCTGTGCTCACATCTGAATTTCCTCCAACGAAAGGGGGTGAGGTGGGAAGGGGTCAGGGAAATCAGATGGGGGTTTCATTGCGAAGGAGGGTTCAACAATAGTCCAGTCTTTGAATACTAAACGGTGGTCCCTGGGTGGGCCCTGTCTTATCAAGTCTGCCTGGTCACCCCCCCATTCTACCCGAGCCTCCCATTCTACCCGAGCTATCCATCCCCCCCGCTGATCCCCTAACCAATCTATGCAGAATGCTGTAATTGCCTGCTTGATATCCTGCTCAGTCTGAAGGATGTCAAGTCGTGATTTAAGGGCTTGCCATTTACGCATCAGTTCCAGCTGGACAAGTTCCTTCACTTGCCCCGTTAACTCGGACCCCTCTATCTTCACCCCTTCCATCACCAGGAGGCAGCGCTGCCACCAAAGGGACCAAAGGACTGACCTTCTTCCTAGACTGTACAGGTTGCTTGTGAAATTGGGGGAGGCCGCCATTCATGGGCAATGTCCTGTTAATATGGTCTGCCAGGACCAAGGCCAGTGAGTGTTTGGTACTATTTTGCGCCATATGCGGTCCCACCATCGCCAGGTAAGCAGTGCCACCGGGCATTGCATGAAGAAGTGTTCGATAGTCTCTTCCCGCTTTCGTGAGGGAAAGGCGCTTGTGCACCTTGGACATCATGGGAGTGCCTTCCCATTTTGCTCCAGGTGGGTGTGGTCGATTAGCCAGGCGTTTGTCGGTAGGCAGCGATGTGCGATCTGCCATTGTAGGGACTTGACCTTGGCCGGTTTAGCTTTACCCTCTTGGAACCATTTGATCGGTCGTCCTCTACTTTCCAAGAGCTGGTACCAGTTGCTTTCAGGGTTGGCAAAATTCAAAACTTTGGCTCGTACAGTTAGCCTCAGGTGTACTGGTGTCTTAAGTTACCAGTACTGTTCCCAGCTATCACTACATTGTCGCGGAGGTTTATCAGGAATGATTTTAACACGGCGCAGGCAGGCCCGTACATCCACCCAGTGGCAATTTGGTATACCATCGCAACTTTCAGAAGTACTGGTGGTGACCCAAACTTTTTTGTCGGTGATAGCAACCGGACTGTTGCCCCCCAGAATAGATGGGGCCTCTTGTTGTGGTGGGGGGGAGGGAAAGACAAAGAAAAAAAAAAGCCTTGTGTCTATAAAGACAAAAGAAACAGCTGTGTCTAGATGTGCCATTGTGTTGTACCAGCAGGCCTAGCTCAGCTGGTACAGCCATGCAACTGTTGAAATACACCCAAGTTCAAATCCAAATGCAATCTGATGTGGAGCAGCCTGGATCTAGTCACCTGCGGCAAGGACAGGAGTGAAAAAAAAGAAAAAGAAAAAGATGTGTCATTGTGTTTTTATCTAGAGTATCTTATCCATTATGCCTTTTCAGTGAGATGCCCTTGTCCAGATGGCCCACTGTTTATTAAATCTACAATGTTTTAGTAGTTTCACCCATTATGCTTCGTCAATGGGACAACAGTGTCAGATTACTCATTATTATTTATCTATATCCATAATGATTTATGCTGGAAATTATGCATAATGTTTTATGATGTTATGCATAATGAGCATTGAATCATTGACTGATCTTTTATCCAATGTGCTCCTGCATAAAACAGCCTTGTCTAGGTGCCCCATTGACATGTACAACTTTTTCTGTTATTAACTTATTATATTATTATTAATTTATTAATATAATTTAGTAGAAAGAGCCCAATTAACATGTAATGATGGGACCCGTTTTGGAAGCTTCTTTCCGTCACATTGGCCTGGTTAAAATGGAGCGTTTTTTTTTTTTTTAAAGGAAAAAAAAGGAGGTTAGATGGATTCTCACTTGTGAGGATTATGGTGATAATGCTTCTCTCCTTGATACTGAGGGAGTCGAACATTCCTGCTTTCCTGAATAGGCACGAGGTATCACCATGGAAATAAAGATTCAAGATTCAGGAGTGTTTTTTTTTTTTTTTTTTTTTTTTTTTTTTTTTTTGAAAAGAAAACAAAAAGAGGACCGTAGGGTTCTGGGTCCTTTTCCATTCTGGGGAGCATCAGTCCGGTTCCTATTCCACCGGCAAGTGAAAAAGGATTACAATGAGTACTCATCCACGCTCCTCCCCCTTATGGTGTGGAGGCCCGAAAGACCGGCAAGTTTACTGTTGTTCAAATTTGTTAAATTACTCAAACTAAAATAACTCCTGGAATACAGTAAGCTGGCATTGACTTCTGTGTTCGCCCCGGCGCCCCCTGTTTCCTTGTTTTTTTTTTTTTTGACTCCAGTGACTGGTAAACCACTGAAAAAAGAACTTGGCAAAACGAACAACGTCACATGATGCTGATGGATCTCAAGCACATCATGATACCATGGAAATAGAGCGGATATTAGGAGCAATGTGTGCACATGCATATGTGTGTGTGTGTGTGTGTGTGTGTGTGTGTGTGTGTGTGTGTGTGTGTGTGTG